AGTTTGGTTACCCTTGCATTTATGAACGAAAAGATGATAGTATCAGTGCCTCAGAAAAACTGCAATTGCTTTTTTGTGTTTTACTTTATAAAAATACTTGACTACTTGGGGGTTTCAGATTGATTACACTATTTTTCAGTTTTATTGCTAAATAACAAAACAAACAAAAAGAAATTCAAAACCCCAATCGAAGTTGTAAGCAAAACGTGCTGTGCTTGACAGGTGCATCGCTGTCTTGAGCTGGAGTTTTACAGGGAGACAAGTGGAAAGATAATTTCTAAAATGACTGCAGCAAGGTTTGTCAGAGTTCTTCTACCAGAGACCTCTAAATTACCCAAAGTCTCCTTGTGGCTACATAAGCCAAAGCCAACAACTTACACCTGAACAATAAATCAATTGGTAGCTCATTTAGGTCAGGAAGCACAAAGATAACAGTCTGTAGTTGAGAAATAACCACTTGTGCACAAACTGGAGTTGTTTTATTTTGCAGCTGAGTGATAGAGCCAACCTGAAAATAACAGCAATGTGTACAAAAGTAGTGAGGTCCACGTGGAGTTAAAAGAAAAGTTCGCAGCAAGTGATAAAAGTAATGAACTGCACACTTGTGTGACTGAGAAATATTTGCCATGCTAATGGCAAGAGAAGCAGAGATATTTTTTTTAAGGTAATTAGATTCAGCTTTTCTTTTTATACCGTTTGGCATATTGAGCAGGTTATCTAAAGGTGCAATTCTAAACCTCAGTAGAGAGGTTCTCATGGAAAGCAGGTGACCTTATGGAAATTACAACGTGTAATTCATCATAGTTAATGTGGGTTTGGACTAGCTGACTGGAGAGGTCTCACTCATATGCAATTTGATAACAGCTTCCCATTGTCAGTAATAATTTATTCAAAAAAGGGAAGTTATAATATGCTTATTAGCTCTCTTCCACCTGTGAAGCAGATAATTTTTTAGTCAGATGTGTAACATGTAATTTACAAGCATCTTGAAAATGTATTTTAAAAGTGCACCTAGTTCTTAATTATTCATGGTAGTCTTAGCATATTAAACTAAGATTTTTGAAATATTTTGTAATGTATTTGTAGTACATCCATTCTAGAATTAAATATCTCTTGTTCCATGTTCTTTATCTTGTTTTTTATTTCCTTTAACATGAACCTCAAAATTGAGTAGCTTTAACTGCATTATAGACACTTGAGTTTGTAGGTAATTGAGGTTAGACTGGTTAGACTTGTATTTAAACAAACTTCTGTGCTGTAATACTGTTCTGCTTGTATTTGTTATATGAAAAAGATACTGATCTTGATTTATTTTACCTGTGAGGTTCTCATGTAGTCTTTGGTTACGTGATTTCATGTTATTTTTCCATCCTGCGTTCCGTATGGAGTGCATCATGCTCAGTGGAGGAGTGTTTACTTAATGTTACACTCTGTTGTTTCAGTAGAAGGCTCCATGTTTTCTCTATTGTATTATGTCCCACTTGGAAAAGAGAGTGATTCTCCCCCTGCCCCCTCCCATCAGAATTTCTTTTGCTGTGCTCAAGTAATTTCCACAGCTGCAGGAGATGTGGACGTGGTGTTTTTCCCAGTTTAAAGATGCGGAACTGCAGAAGGAAAAGGTCTAGACAGAAGTACATAAAAGTACCTGATAACTTGAGGAATTCAGCATGAAACATTTGGGCTATGATTTTTCAGAATATTTGGCGTTTTCTGTCCTGAAAGCTAAGCATTGACTTCGGATTCACTGTAAGTGCAAGCAGAGCAGCAGAGATCAGATGGATCTATGTGCTGCTCGTAAAGGTGCATGAAGCTGTATCACTCAATGAGTGTTAGTGCCTGTTTTAGTCTTTTACTCACTATTGAACTGTTGGACTAGGTATAATTAGCAGAAAAAATGTGTTACCACTGACTTCCTGGGCTCCAGTTTTTAAAAGTGCTTATCTTGCATCCCAAAGAACCACTGCAATAGATAGGAGGGTGATCCAGAGTAATGCCTGTAGCCTGTTTGTTTACCTGAATTGATGAGCTAATCCTTTCTTCTACCTTTTTTAGCCATGCCCTGCCTCATACACTGTGCAGGTTATAGATGATGCAATGAATAAGGCAGGGACAGGTCAGAGTGTGTAATCCTTCATTGCATAATTCTGATCGATCCATTCATCCATGATTTGAATTGGGCATAGATTTTTATTTTTTTAGGGCAAATATGACACATAATGTTATTATAATCTAAGGTGAATGCACAGAGAGACCAAGCTGATGATTATAGCAACCTTCTCTGTCACTTTCTAAATTTAATGCTGGATTATTTTTAACCGTAATGCTCTTTTAACATTGAGGCTTCACCTATGGATATAATAGCTTTGACTTTCTGAAGTAAACTGCATCTGAATTTGGGGATGTTGGGTTTGTGTGCGTTGACTCAGTGTAGCTCTGCTTGTAGATTAGTCTTAACTGTTTCATAGCTCTGTCAGGGGTTTGTGCCTTACTCTTACAGGGTAAAACTGCAGAGATTCCCTCTTCTTCATCTCCCCTTTACACCAGAGGCACTTAGCCACTGCACACTGTGATGGGATGCTTAACATGCTTGTCCTGTTTGCAAGGTGTAGATAGTCAAACGTGGGCAGGAAAGCAAAACCAATGAAGTGTTTGATTTCCAGATGTTTAGCAATAAGCTTCAGAATAACTTTTCCTGTTCAGGGATGTCCTAAACGTATTGCAGCTTGTTTGCTAGCCTGCAATGCATCTTGAGTTTTTGTTCACTCTCTTCTGAAGTTCATGTAAAATTCGTACATCCACTAGCCCTATTATGAAAAACTCAGTGCATCTGCTAACTGTAGGATGGAAAAATATTTTTTTATTTCTTTTAAACACATTCTGAATCGATTAGTCATGCAAGTCCTTACTCCATGAATTCAGGCTTATCACAATTTTTTTGTTATGCTTTCTCTTCCTGCCCAAGAATTTCTTTTTATTTTCACATTTCCCCACCTCCCTTTGCAGCTTGTCATTTGACCTATCTCTTCCTCCCTCTTGCATCCCCACCGTTTTGCTCAGTGATTGCATCACAGTTTGAATTTCAGTGTCCAGTAAGTCCTAAACTCTCCGGAATCTCTCTCCATGCTTCCCAGTGCTTATTTTGGTAATGAGTGACCTCAAGTCTGACTTATGGTCCCTCTGCATCAGATTCAAGGCAGCTTTTTCCACTGTGCCAAATAGGGCACAGGCTTCATTCTCTCTTCTGGTATATGGATCTAATTCTTGTGTGAACCTTATGTAGCAAATTAGGTTGCAAGAGCTGTTGCTGATTTAGTTGAGTATGTGTGAAAACCCTTTGATGCTGTAATGAATGGGACTGGAACCTCCTTGGAAGGATGGAAAATATTCTCGATTCTCCTTGGAGAAGACTATTGGCCATAGCCAAGGGGTTTGTCTCGGGAGAACTTGTTGGCAGCCAAGTGTCAACCTTAGGAATGGAGAGAGATTGAGAGGCTATAGTTAAGGAAAGGAAGTAGTGAGCCGGAGGAGGACCAAAGACCTCCTAAGGAACCAGAAGGGACTGTGCAGAGCTGCCTGCACTGCATAGTTGCTATGTTGCCTGAAATATGGCAAATCCTTACTTCCAGACATTAAGAATACAATGTGAAGTAGGAGCTTTATTTAATAAAGCTTTTGTTCTCTGCAGTATTCTCCCCCTCCCCCCCGAATTACCTATCCTACATGGTAGTCTGATGGAATCCTGAATTTTTTCTTTAATTTAGAGAAATTTTGAAATTCCTTTCTTTTCCCCCCCTTTCTTTTTGAGTAGCTCCAGACATGCATATTCTAGCTGTCATTTTTGTGGATGCTGAAATACTGTGGATGAATTTTTGTGGGTGGCAAAATGTATATGCCTGGCACAAAGGTGCTCCAAATTTGATATTTTTGCTCCCAAAGCATGGAGCTGTAAAACATTTCTGCAAAACAAGCTTTCCAGAATTTCATTACCCATGAGCTAAGCCGTTTTGGCTGTTAGCAGAGAGAAATTAGGAAAAAAGTGATCTGAGGCAGATAGTTGGCTTGGAAAATTGCGTTCGGAAGCTCTGAAATTTCACAAGATTCAACGAGCAGAAAGCAGCAATCTCTTACAGCAGAGACCCATAGTTTGTAGTGCCAGTGCCAAAAGCAGCATACAAGTGAATTTGAATAATATGCATTTTTGCATAATATGCTGTAGGTCTGAGCTGCAGCCTTTTAAAGGAGAACATGTGTGAGAGGTACCTGTTCCCAGCTCCAGGCTTTCTCCCAGTTCAGCACTGGTACATGGGCAAGGCTCTTCCATTGGGTGGTCAGTTGTGTCTGTTTGCTCCAAGTTTCCACAAGCATGTGTGGCTTCTAATTTGAGAGACAAAAGTAGGCTGGTGCTCCACTCGTGGCAGATTTGCCCCTGAGAAGGGAAGGAAGTGTCAGGCAGCTTTGACAAGGGGTTTACTCCTGTCTTTGCGTGTTGCTCCTTTTTGCATTCTGTATCTCCAAGAAAGTTTTTTGTTTAGTTCTGTGTTTAATAGCTCCAGCTATTTGAAAATGGATGCTGACACTGCTTTTAAATGGGTTCTATTGTTCATATAAAGAGCTGTATTAGAAGTGGTGGATATAATGAAAAATACAGCCCAGATTTGTAACATAATTACTTTTACCAAATAAGGGGAATAAAATGGTTTAATTTACTGTGTACTGTCTGTCATCACTATATTAAAGGTTACACCAGTATTTATGAAAAGTTACTATCTCAGTAATTTAATCATCTTAACAGCCTAAGCCCATGCAGAGGTACAAAGTTCAGTGTTGCTTGTCTGTAAAAGAATGAGTTCTAGTTTTGAAGCTATTTAAAATGCTATTCTAGCAATAGGGAATGCTAAAATTGGCAATTAAGTCATGTTAATTGATTGTATTGTGCAGGTAGGTTGTGAATTCTTAATTATATGGTTTTTAATAAACTATCTGCTATTGGTTTTGTGTAGATCATCCTTTGCAGGCTGGAAGTGCCAAGTGCAGGATAATTCAGTGAACGATGTGGACTATTTCAGCTTCTTGTTTTCAACCCTTATAGGTAATCCATATGAATGTAATAATGCAGAATTAACAAAATGAAAGTTGTTTTGATAGTTGATTACTGAATTTAATTTAGAATAAATTGTGTAGTAAGTACTTCCTGCAAGTAATTCTAATCTTGTTACATATTTTTGTTATGAGATGCCCTTTTATCACTTGATCTGATTTTTTTACACTCTATTTTTACGCTTTTCCTTTTGGGCTGAATATTTGCATACTTTTTCTTCATTCTAGCAACTTTCTTTGGAAAGTATGAGGAAAACCTAAATTTAGCATGTGACATGAGCAAGACTTTTTTTTTTCCTAGCTTGAAGTAAATGCCTTTTATTGGCTCATAACAATATAAACGAGTGCCTCTGGGATTTCCTGTGAACATGCTTATGCTATTAAAAGCATTCCATCAGAATAAAGTAATCAAAGTACATTGAAGTGAACTGCCCAAGGTCAGCATGTGAGCTGAATTACTTCTGCTACTCTATTCTTACTCAGATATAAAAATAGTTGCATTCTGTGGTGATGCAACTTTGGGAAATTACTGTGGTTAAAAGTGGCATAATATTACTGAGAAGTAACTTCCAGTAACTTGCGCTGTGGTAAAAAACCCACAAGTGTCTTTTCTTCATCACCTCTGTTATTTATACCTTTCAACTACTTTGTTTTCAAAAATTACCATTTTGTTCCTAACACAGTGAAAAGAGCACTGTACTGATAACAGAGACAATGAAAGCAAAGCCAGAGTGACTGTTGTGGAGCAGTAGCTCTGGCTAAAAATAATAATCCAAATTACTTTTTTTTCAACCCTGAGGTTGTGTTAGGTTACTGAATTACTGTGAACACATGCTGAAGTGTTTTGCATTATACCCGTTGGTTTGGCTTTTTAAGATTGAAAATAGCATAACATTGGCCTCTTGGAGTTGTTTTTTTTATACTACATTATAGTTTAAATGGGTATGCCATTGATTTTTCAAATATTTTTGTTTTCTTTCAGAAGTCAAAATTTGCATTTTGATATACTTCGTTTAAAATACCAAGCAAGAGCTTTTAATAAAGAAATTGCTATGCTGACATAATTTAAAAGCTGTTGTTTTCAATGATGCTGTTGAAGTAGAACACTGCTTGGCTTGTTTTGTGATACTGTTGTACTGCTTCTTTTTCCCTAGGGTTTACAAGAGAGGAGTTGACTAGTCTCCAGGGCATTAGAGGAAAACCACACATTAGCCAGACACAACTCTCACCTATCCGTCTTTACCTAACTGATCTGGACCAGTTTTTACACCACTGGGCTGTGACAGAGGTAATACATCAACACTAATTCTAAATGACAGCAAACAAACCCCGAGTGCTCTCCATCCCTTTTCCACAGATGCCTAAATCTTGTTGTGATTTGAGTTGAAAAAAAGAGTGAGAAATAGAATAGTTGTCAAACAGCCAACATTTTTCTGCAGCCATCAGATAATGTTTTGAAGGAAGCTGCTTTAAAAGTTGAATGTTCAGACATGTAGTGTACAAAGCAATACTCATGGTAAAACATTGGTAGAAGCCTTGGTGGAAATTCTTAAACATTAGTAAGTTTAGGACCAGCAATATGTCTTGGCTTTCAAAAACAGATCAATTGTAAAGATACTAATTATAAAGAGTTTTCTTGGAGAGTGAATGCCACTGTTAATTAAAAAGCACGTGTATTAAGTAAGATTTCGACTTGGAAGTAATACTAAGTTGGCATTGGTGATTATTGAGAATAATTTCTGATGCTTAGTTAATCAAAATTTACTGGGATTAGAAGCTTTACTCTGAATTCAGTACCCATGTCTGAGATTGTAAGAATTGAAAGCTTAATTCTATTGTTGGTTCCAAAGGTATTCAAGCCACCAGATTTTATACAGAGCAGGTGCATTACCTGTCTTTGTGGCTCAACTCTTTTCATGTTTAGCTCACCAGAAACCACTTTAAGGTGTGAAATCATGTTTTAATGACATGCCAGTTTGACAGTATTTATGAAATCATAGTCATGAATTGAGAAAGAAGAGCGAAAACAGATTTTCGTTGTTTGATTTCTTGTGGCAGTCTTTTTGGTTCAAGGAAGCAGTGCAGTAGATATTTTCTAATTCATAGTGTTTAAGTAATGATGTACTGAAACTAATGATTGTGTGAGACACATCCTGAATGTGTGCTGCTATGTATTGAAAAGTATTGTTGGGTGCCATGGCTGACACACATTTTTTGATGTCCTGCCTTCAGTCATTTTTCCTGTGGAGCAGCTGAACTTTCTAATTTGCTTTGCTTTGTCTGTTCTGGACAGTAATGAAGCATTTTCTCACCTTTCTCCAGTACTCTAAGACTAGAATGCTCTCTCTCCCTGTCCTGTTCCTCTGTGAGTGCACCAGAGTGATTGTTTCTCAATCTCATACAGCATCTGAAGGGTTTATATATACATTACCTGTTTCTGAAAAATGTCACCTCTTGTGTCTTCTTCATTTTTTTTTTTTTGCTTCTATAAAATTGGTTGTGAAACTATTCAATAGGACTATTTTCACCTAGGGAACAGTGAAGTAGTTTTCTTGTTTGTGCCTTTGGTTCCTGGTTGGGAGTTTCAGTTATTTATTCTACTGCAGCCTATTCAGTGTTTTGGTGCCATCAAGGAGAGTCAGTATTTTCAGAAACTTGAGAATTGCTTATGTTAAAGTACCTTTTCTCAGGCAAGATACAAGGTACTCTCTCAGGTTCTCAGAAGTGGATGGCAGTCATTAGCAGAGGACTGGATATCCTTGGTTAGTAATGAAAGAGAATTTGGTCATCCTAGGGAGCATTGTGCTACTTCTGCAGTTATGTGTCAGCCTGAAGTCTTCTCTGGAGACTAATGTATGAAAGAGAAAATAGGAACAAAAATTCCAACCATCAAAACTCTATGTGAAGAAGGATGAGACCTAGACCCACCTGATTTTGTAGGCTCTTAATCAAAGGGAGTTCTGAACTGTACTCTGAGCTTGAGTTGGAGATTTGAGGCTTTTCCTCATCAGTGTATTTATGATTGTGGAGATAAAGTTTCTCATGAACTGGGTTATTTCAGCTACACTTAAAATATGATTGGGAATAGTCAGCAGGGATTTGTGAAGAGCAAGTTGTGCCCAACCAAACTGTTAGCCTTCTGGAACAATGTGGGTAGCTTGGTGTGGGTGAGGAGAGAGTAGTTTGTTGTCTTGAGTAAGGTTTTGATGCTGTATCCCACGACATCCACACTTATAAAGAATGGCTTAGATAAATAGAGAGGTGAATGAAAACTACCTGAATGGTCAGACCTGAGGGTTGTGGTCAGTGGTGCAAAGTCCAGTTGGAGGTAAGTCACTAGTGGTGTACCCCAGGGATTGGTAATGGAGCCAGCACTCTAACCTTCGTTAGTGACCTGGGCAATAAGACTCGGTGCACCCTCAGCAAGTTTGCAGATGATACAAAACTGGGAGGGTTGACTGGTGTATCAGCGGGATATAGGAAGGCTGGAGAACTGGACAGAGAGAAACTTCATGAAGTTCAGTAAAGGAAAATGCAGATTCCTGCACCTGGGAGGAATAATTGCAGGCACCACTAAATGCTGTTGCAGCCAACCAACTGCTATGATCTGGTAACAGTGGTCCTATTTGTGTTGCAATGAGAAGTGATCATCAGTATTAAGTCAACCACTTACTTTTATGAATCACGGAATTCCATTCATTTTTCACCTGCCTGGTTTCAATTTCAGATGCAATTGTAGATATGGCAAATGATACATAAGCAAAACTGTGCTGAACACTTCAGCTTTCAGATTACTTTATTCTCTGTGCTTACATGTCTAATACAGCACGATGTTTATTAAGTTTTAGGGGGTTTTATCTTTTCCTTGTTGAGTGCCATTCCTCAGCCTCAAAACATGTTGGCCAATGTTCTATTTAATGATCAATTGGTGAAGAAAATATTCTGGGGACTGTAGTCCATAAAAACTTTGGGATTTGGAGGCTGGACAATTTTTAAAACCAAGGAGGGGAAGAAAGAGTTTAAAAAAAGGAAGAAAGAAAGAAAAAGCCAGGCTTGGGAAAAACCTTTCAGTTCAAGATTTGCCACAAGGTGCACAGGAATACTTTTTGTACAGTTTCCACTTTTATGCTGCTCTGAAAAGAAAATAAACTAAACAGCAACAACAGAAACAATCTTCAACCAAAACACAAACCCCCAGAGCTGCAGTCTCCTGGGAGAAGAAAACTGCCAGCAGATCATGAGGCTCTTTTACAATGCCTTGAAAGACAGTGTGGTATGATGATTCTGTGTGCTTCCAGTTTGAGGGAGGTAGGTTTGGAGACCGCTTTCTTCTAAGTGGACATAGTTCAAGGTGTGATACAGTTTTGGAATCAAAATATTATTAGCTGTGACAGAAAATCAGTGAATTCAGATAAAGAAATGCTACAGGAAATCATAAACTCCAGCTTGAATTAGTCGTGCTTTTGGTGGAACTGGGCAGAGCACACAGCTTCTGAATGTTGAATCTTCCATGCTTTCCCTTGTGGGATAAGGAAGTTTATGGAGATGCTGTAATGTTAAGCAAAGTGTTTGTAGCAATTTAAAACACCTAGTAAGAGAACAGTGCTCGTTGGCTGCAGAGCAGGCAGTATCCAGGCCTCTACATTATGTTGGGAATTGTTCATTTAAGAGTTCTCATTATGTAGTTGTAATTCAGTGTTTCCTTGTAATGGAAAAGTATTTTGTTGTGGATGAAAATAAATAAGGAACTCTGATGGAATTAGGGTTGGATGGCCTGATTTCCTATCAATAAGTGAGACTAGTGATCAGATTCCTATTAGTCATTCGATCTTTTTTTTTTTTTACCTCTTCCACCTCTGGTTTTGTCTAAACTGTTGCTTAGTTTTTGGCACTCTGCTAAAAGAATAAAGTTGCAGATACTAGTTGCCCATAAGTTTCATGAGGTGGAAGAGGAAAAAAACGTAGATTAGCACAAGGTAGTTTATAACTCTGTCTCTGCATCCTGCTTGGCAGCAACTCTCACCTACCAGCCTGTGTGTGCATCACTCTGGGCATGCTCAGCAGGAGCAGCTGGGGCTGCATTGCTGAAGAAAGGTCCCAGGCCTGAATGTGTAGGAAGCCATGGCTTTGTTGGCTTTATTGCTCACTGCTTGATTTTGTTTTCAAATCCAAAGGGAGGCAGTCCCAGCTTTCTGTCGCTGGCTAGCTGTACTGTTCAGTGAGTGGTCTGTGTTTCTAATGGTGAAGAACTGTAAGAGGGAATTTAATGTATAACACATACGTGCCAGAGATGCAGAAGAAGAACTTGCTCTGTAAAGGAAAAGAATAACTTGAGGCATTTTCAAACAGCAGTTTGGACTTCTGGAGTGTTAACACAACCAATGTACTTGATAGCATGTGGCTAAGTAATTGGCTAAAAGGCCAAACAAATCCGTTTCTGATAGGAACTAATGCTTTTAAGTGGCTTATAACAAAATGTGTTTTGAGATGGATACTGCTGGTAACGTTTTTGTCTGGGGAGTGGTAATTGGTACAGTAGAAATCTGAAGCCACTTTACTTTTTGTGGATGCTTTTAAGTAGTGGTAATTTCCACTTAAGGAGCAATGCTTAGAAGTCTCCCTTTAAATGTTGTTTTGTGTAGCTGCAAACATTTATCTTCATGTTTTGTCTAAAACATACGTTAAATGTGGGAACTTTGGTTCCTTTTCTGGAGCAACTTCTACTTGAAATTACTTCTGCCTTGTTAAAGCCAATTATTTAAAGTCACCCCCCTGTAGCTGAAATAAATGGGACTCCAGAATAAATGGTTGCAGCCCGAGGGAAGAGGCTTCAGTCTTGGCTCATTTTAACTGTGCCGATAGTGTTTGTCGGTAATATTGTTCACTCCCCTGTAATTGAATTGCTCTGCCAGTATCGAATGAAATAGTGCCCACAGAAATGAAGAGTTTAACAAGGTAACCGTGTATACATGGTAATTTCTGTTGTAATATTTGATGCTTGTGACATGTGAACGTTTTAGAGGGGGGAAAGTAAAGGATAATTTTGAAGGTTTGCTTGAAGTTGCAATTCGAGAGCTGTATCGAGCACAAAGAGGACTCGAAGAAATAAAACATTCAACCAAATGTTTAAAATGTTAAGAGCAAACACTAGGGCAGGTCAGCTGCTTTTAAAAGCAGTCGTGAATTCAAAATCCTTAGGATGCATGTAGTGAAACACACTAATCTGTGTCAAAAACTGATAAGTCTTACAAGTGAAATACAGCTATGAAGGCTCTATCTGCACTGATCTGCTGTGAAAAATTACTGCAAATCAATAAAGATAGCAAATCAATGCATGGAAGTTAAAAGTCCTGCTCGGGTGCTTGCCTTGAGAAGTAAAAGGTGGTGTTGCAGTGCTGTAGCTTCACTTAGAGCAGAGATTAGTGCTTCAGAAAACCCAGTGAATTTTCTTAAAGTAGATTTTGAGTTGAAGTTCCTGTAAGATTTCAACTTGTCGTCTTTATTGAGATTTCCAGGTTAGTGTCACTCCGGGGAGAAAAAGTGGCTGAGGGTAAATATTATCACTTCTAAACTAGAAATATATTTTTTTACGTTTTAAGAAGAAAAAAAATTATATTATCACTTCTAAACTAGAAATATAATTTTTTACCTTTTAAAGAAGGATTAAAAGCTCCTGAATAAGCCTCCTGGTGTTTTGTAAAACCACATTGTGTCCCAGGCTTAGTGTTGGTAAGACATCTCTGAGATGAGAACCAGATCTGGGCTGTTTTTCAGGTGTGGCTTTGTCTACTCCTGTGTAAGCATAACCACATTGTGTCCCAGGCTTAGTGTTTAGAAATTACGTTTTTTTTTCTTGAAAAGTAATGCAAATTCCAAAGAAACAAAAGACAAATTACATAGGTAAAAGTAATGCCTCGTAAATTTAATGAAGCTTTTTTTCAAAGGTCTCTTCCAGGGTTTTCTTAAGACATAAAACCCCCAAAACAGCAACAGCAAAAACCCAAAACCAAATAAACCACCAAAACCAACCCTCACCAATAAAACCCAAACAGTAAAAGACAAACTCCCAGAAAACTTAACTTGATCTTCAGGCCAGTGCTCCATTGTACCTGCATCAAGGTGCATCATCATGTACCTTCCAGCATGTCCTGTAACATCTCATAGCTCACATGTACCTGCATGTCACTAATGTGAGTTAACATCTCCACAGTTACTGTGCATTGTGCTTGATGTTCACGTCCTGGTTTGTGATACCTTTAGGTACCTAAAGCTTCCTAAGTGTAGAGGTTTCTGTGTTTTCAAGCCCTTTTGTTTGGAGAAGGGCCAAGCAGGTGGATTTGGAGACTTGTACGAGAGATGTTCTTTGGCTGTCCTGGATGTGGTCTGACATGGGGGCACCCAGAGGAGGAGGGATCGGCTGTGGTGACATTTTATAGCTGTGAGGAAGCTGTAGAGCTGTGAAAGGAGGAATTATTACAGCTGCAAGAGGATGAAAGAAAAGCTCCTTGGGTAGCAAAGCTGTTTTGTGATGTTTTTTCTTTGAATTTTGTTGGTAAGACATCTCTGAGATGAGAACCAGATCTGGGCTGTTTTTCAGGTGTGGCTTTGTCTACTCCTGCGTAGCACATTAGCTGTTTAGCAAAAAAACTAGTT